CTGATCAACTGAAGCATGGCAACCACTTTCCCCTTTTACCATGCTATAACTTGTTAGCCTGTCCACTTCCTACCTTTCTCTCACCCTACATTCCTGTCTGGCAGTCGTGGCTAACCAGAGCAGTTCTGGTCTTAGTCGTCTGTGCTCTGAATAATCTGCTGGCTTTTTCAGAGAAGGTTCCTCCTATGTCAAGTTCTGTACGCCAGAATCGCTGCTTGCCTTTGGCACGTGCTGAAAGTCAGCTGGCCCATACTGCATCTGCTCTTGTACCATCTCCTAGTCTTCCTGTGCCATTTCTTGCTACTGCAAGATGGGCAGCCAAAGCAATTTTTAAAGCACGGTTTCTTTTTTTATTCTGGCTCCCAATAAATAGGGCTCAGATGCTTTAAAGAAAAAAAAAAGATGCAGCTCCGAAGTGCTGAGGTCCCAGGTGCTGGCTTATTATGTTCGCAGCTATTCGGATGGACAGTCACCTCTGATGGCATGTTTGAACACCCTCTAGAGCAACTGGCTATGGTCATACTGGTCTGTACAGTGCTAAAAGCTGCTTCTGCAAAGCCCAGCCAAAGTAAAAAAAAAAAAAGTTCTCCCACCTTCTCAGGGATGCAGGGCTCATACTTCCGGAGGGGACTTGTGCAAATGAAGACTTCAGTGCTAAAAAGAAAGAGTCCCAATTAGTAGTTATAGGAGTGCATGAGATAATAGAAAAGGACGGTGCATTGCAAAGGGTCCTTACTCCTTCATTTGGATCATCTCCTTCATGGCTTCAATGGCTCCTGGTATTGGGTCCAGTCCCAGAAAGAAGCCAGGTGACTCATACACACTGACTATCTTGGCCTGGAAGAGACATGAGGAGAATTAGCAACATTTACTTTTTCAGAGCCTGACAGCTGTTCTCTTTATCCACTGCGTATTGCTCAACCTCAGATGGTTCTCTGGTCCGCATTTTCCAGGGAGAGAAGGTGGTTAAAAGAGGACTGCAGAATCTCACCAATAGATTGTCAAGACAAGTCCAGCCCAGGTAGATAATGACTGGATGTTGTTATCTGGTGTCTTGTGTGAAGCACACAGATACTGTTCTAGTTCCCAAGAAAAGACATGATAGCTGGGACCCTCAACAGAGGAACCAGGGACAGACCGGGATATTGAGACTCCGTTACTCTGGGAACTTCAGAGTTGATTTCTCCAGACCACGAGCAAGGCATTCCAGTATGGAGGAAACTTTGCTTTGTTGTTCTCCAAGATTTTCAATCCAGCATCAAGAAAAAAATTGTATTTGTAACACAGCGGAACCTGGCTTCTATGCAGACAGCTGTCCTACCGGGGTAACATGTCAAACATTCTCCTTTCAGAGGTGCTAAGGTTGTGGCTAAGCTGAACAAATGCAAAATTAAGACTGTTCCTTGACAGCTCTGGTAGCAGAGCCCCATAGCCTCAAACAGGCTCAGCAGAGACAGAGGCTGCACAAGCTTCTCCCACCATTCCCTGTTCATGTCTGCTATGCTGGCCCTGCCAGGAAGGGTGCCACCTGAAGCTAACTTCCTGGGTTTGGAATAGGGCATCTGGACCCCAAGGCTTGCTGCCTTTATTCAAATAGATCAGTCAGCAGCCTGGCTGCATAACACAACCAGGTGTGGATTTGGAAAGGAAAGGACAAGGACAGGCTTTCCTGAGATGGGAGTGAAAAATGGTGCCTTCTGCCAAAGGCTGCATAGTCCAACACGAGCCAGACAGGTTTTTTACCGGCTGCCACATAACTACAGGCAAGGGCCTGAATTTAGAGGCTGAAATAAACCAAGTGCATCTGTGATTGCTTTTAGCGCAATGCAATCTCCTTCCATGACTTGCTGCATCACCAAAAGACAGTTCAGTAGTACTTAGCTTTTTGTGGCGACTAATCCTCATAGGCTCCCAGGAAAATGTTATCCCCATTATCACAGATAAAGGGAGGTTTAAAGGACTCTGCTCTGGTCACAACACATGACAAAACACTGCCCCTTGCTCCAGGATCCCAGTTCCGCGCTTAGCTAAAGCGTACATGCCCTCTAATCAGTCACTGCTGATCTCTCTGCTTCTGAATTAAACTAAGGCCCAGACTCACTATTGTGCTCTGTTGTCCTTGCGCTGGCTCAGGGCTGAAGCTGTGATGGAGACCATTCCCAGTGAGAGCACCGCCCCAGGTGCAGAGCTGGCATCACTAGCCACAGGAACAGGGAATGGCCTGGATGAAGTGGGTGGCCAGCACATCTTTGTCCCCGGGTGAGAGGAATAAGGCAAGGCAGCCCTTGCTTGCCTGGGATATTTCACTGGGAAGCACAGGCCCCTTCCCAATTGGCCTGGCGCCTATACCAGATGAATGGGTTTTCTGTCTCTGTTTCTGATGCACATTTTCCCCCCTGCCCTCCCCAATTCATATGCAGGGCACTCCTGGTCAACTCCTGGCTGTTTTCAGGGGAGTACGCCCACAGGGGAGGAGTGAACCATGGGTGCAGGGTCTCTCTCTTTCCCCTCGCGCAACTGCTCCAGATATACTGGGGGGCGCATGCATATGATTGATGCCATTCTCCTGAGAGGGGAAACTGAGCTGCAGAAGGAAAGGAGGCAGTTTCCAGTCAACACTCAGGCAGGGTTTAAGGGGCAATGATAAAGCGAAGAGACCGTTTACTGTCAGATGAGACTAGCACTGGCCCTAAGAGGGACAAGAGGATAAATAAGCCAGTTACAATTGAGTGATGGCAGGGCTGCTGCATGGCACAGAGGAATCTTTGCCTGGTGCTGTTCCTTGGGAACTGCCTGGCCCTCCAGTCATTTAGTTACACTGTTCCTCATTTTCTTTAATACCTCAATAGCATCTTTTATTAAGAGGTTCACTGGTTTGAATCTAGCTCTGGTTGGTGGTTTAACAAAAATTGCTGGCTGGTGGCTGTGCAGTGGCCCGTGTGATGCGACCGCTAGTCTCAGCGCAGGCAGCTACCCACTTCACACACCCCACTGCTACCCCTCACCTCTTCCAGGGCAGTCACCGCAGGAGCGGACGGGACTGAAGGGGCCACAGGGACAAAGCTCCCTTTCGCACACCTAGACGCAGTGTCCAGTCGGTCCTACCTCGAGCAGCATGTGTGAGCACAGAAAAGGCAAAGCACAAAGACATTCGTTCTTCAGAGCTGCAAACCCGTCATTGCACTCCCTCACACCCATACTACCGAAGAGGCTGGAAAGCTTAGTTCTGGGTGAATAGTCCTCTGGAGAAGTCTGGCAGCCTTTGATCAGACATATCCAAGCGTGCAGGACTGCTGCTTTTCTAGCTGACCTGCCTATCCCCCCCTTTTGTGTGTCACCGGTGCAAAATGAACACATAAACATTCATGAAAGTCTTGAGAGAGTCATCAGCATTCATTATGCGCACGAAGCCAGGTCAATTTAAGGGTTAGCATAAAGAGGAGAGAGGCAATATTGAATCGACGGGGATTCACAACTAGCATTTGGAGGTTGGGAACACCTACGCTTGAGAAGCAAGAGGCTAGTATTTTTTTTTTTTTAAACCATCAGAAAAACAGCATTTAAACAGCAAAGAGTATTGAAAGGACTTAACAGCGAGCCAGTGGGAAAAATAAATGCAACGTGACTGTCATCAAACAGTCACAGCTGTGTTTGATGGCTATGGTGCTAGGTGCTGTATGTGCCTGCACACCTCTCCATCCCAACAAGCTTACAGTTAACACTGGTCACTTTGCTTTTATGTTAATAAAAAAACCCCAAACCTGCGAATTCTCTTGGGTAGGAGCAATTTATTTTGCACGGTTTATTTTGCTAGATGCTTCTACCGCACCTAGCACCAGAGTGCAAACACAACGAACGCGGACAACACGCAGCGAGTCGCAGCCGGCTGCCCCTGCTGAGCCCAGCTGGATTCAAACTCTTCATCTAGAAAAGATCAGCTCTGTAACCCACTGAGACCTCTGAGATTTGGGGGCTGAACGGGACGGCTGTGGGTCAGGAATAGCCGAGAAGGAGCTCGGGGGCTAGAGGGTCTCTTAACAAGGATGTTATACAATGGTGTCACTGCAGCCACTCACAGATGCATTCACCCCAGTGTATCTGCCTAGCTGGATGGGCTTCACGCCCAGGATCAACTCGCATCCTTTTCAACGGGTCGGTCCTCTTCATTCAGCAAGTTTCTGGTGTCAAACGGCGCCAGGTAAAGCCATCACGGGCACTGGCGCCTCACGCAGATTACAGAAGCCGGAGGGCTAAACGCCACCCTCTCCTACCTGCGAGCCCGGCCTGGTTTGCTGGCGTGCAAAGAGCAGGCGCCTGCCTGGGCTCGCCATCCCCTCGTTGGATGCGGCAGAGAGCAAGCGGGGCTGGAAGCCCGTCTCGGCTCCCGCCCGTGCAGAGGGCACTGCACCCAGGGCTGGGGGGCTCGGCGCTCAGCCCCGGCCATGCAAGCGGCTCCTGCTCTGGTCACCGCGACCAGCTCCACGCGGGGCTCGCCGGGGAAGCGCGCCAGGAAGGCCCGCAGCACGCCGGCCTCGAAGTCCGCCAGCACCCCGTCCATGTCCGCCAGCACGCGCAGCGCCGCGCCCCAGCCCATGGCGCCTCCGACCGCGCGGCCCGGCGGCCGCTGCTGCATGCTCAACCGCGCGGGGCGGGGCCCGCTCATGCATATTCATGAGGGCGGTGGCGGGGAGGAGCATGGGGAGCGTGGAGGGAGGCAGGCAGTGCAGCCCGGCAGGGGCCTCCCAGCCCTAGCCCCTGGCCTCAGCAGAGAGGCTGCGTCTCTTAAAGCAGCTACAGCCGCCTCGTAGGTTGCAGGGCCCCTCCCTTGGTCAGCTTGCAGCACCTACTTGGGCAGAGGCCATGCGCTGAATTGAAGGCCAGGCACTGGGAGAGCTTGCTGGAGCTCCCTCAGCCAGAGGAGAGCAGGTGGCCAAGGCTCCTCGAAGCCCGACTGGTGCAGAGCCATTTGCACAAGAGTGGAGGCACTTGCCAGCTTGCAGAAGGTATCTACTTCCCTCCACGGTCTGTGCGCGCTGTGGTAGGGCTGAGTATTGTTTTAGGCTTTTGGCAGAAGTTTTGTTACAAATGGGGCAGGGTAGTGCACCGGTACCCTTTTCTCTTACTGGGATTGTTTTAAAGCAGCTGAGGAATCAAATCAGTAAGGACACAGCTTGTGGATAACTGCATCTTTTAAGAAGTGAAAACTAGAGGGAACAAGAAAAATAAACTAAATGAATCCCTCTGAAGATTACAAAGGAATTTAAGAAATGTGGCACTAGCATGACTGAAGGCTAGAACTAGAGTGTGTCAGCAAAGAGGAACACTTTCCCCCAGCCACCACAAAGACTGCAAGTGAGCAGAATTAAGGTGATTAAGCTTTGGTCTAACAGGAGTAGGCAGGTGTCAGTAATTAGTTCACGCCTTCCTTAAAAGTACTAAGGAAAGCCACATTCTGGGACTATGTTCAGAGGCAGCACTCAAGTGGCTTTCCCACATTATCCAAAAAGCATGAAGGACTCATGACACAGTGATGGAAGTGTAGCTATTAAAATACAAAGCTATTCCTGATTAAGCCCCTATTTGATGCTTGCTATACTAAAGGGGAACCTCAGCAAGTAACATCCAAACCAAATCCTTTGCTCAAGACAATGGACAAAAAAAAATGTGAACAAGAATACTGAAAAGCAGAGGGGGGGGGTGTAATCTCAAATGATATTCTTTCTGGCAGCAACATGTCTAATCTATTGTTTTTTCTTTCACAAAAAATGTGTTGAATTGAAACTTGATTCTTTAGGATGCATTTAACTTGGAGTTCATCCTTTTATTAAAAAAAGGCCATCATGCTTCAGAAGCCAGACTCAACTCCAGCTGATGTAGGACCAAAAGACTTTTCCCCTCACTAAGCAGGTTGCAAGAGAGTGTCCACTATGGGGGGTCCCTGCACCTTCCTGTACAGGATGTCGTACCTGTAAATTAAAGGCAAGATGAGCAAGAGCACCAAAATAAAGCCCACACAGGAAACACTGCTTCAAAATGTCTATATTATTTACTTTTAAGCAACAGTCCAGCTTTCTGAAATTACAACACACATTTTAAAGGATGAGATTTCCACCTCATGGTCAAGCACCAGCATGATCATGCACAGCATTGAGTCATTTGTAATAAAATGCCCTGTAGATTTGTATGCAAATATTCACTCCTGTATGATCCACTCCTCACTCCACCTTCACTGAATGAAGTCTCCTGTATACAAGAGTCCCTTCCCCAGTATTAGGACAGGCAACTCATTTGCCCTGTATTTGGCACACATACCCCACTTAATGGTCCAACATTCAGATACTCCTCATTGAAGGCAGCATGGCGTAAGCTAGCACCACACTATACAGTTCTGTATGGCACAGTGGGGCTTAAGACATTTACCACAAGGAAGTCAATGAAACCTTAGATAACCAGTTATTGTGTGTGGTGGATGGGACAGTTCTTGCTGATTGCTTGCTGGCCTGTATATGCAGGATTGTAGACCCTTGTGAAACTAAGGGGGTTCTAAAAACCTCAGTACAAAAACCCTCTAACCACACTTAGAACCAAATCTAGTCCCCTTTGAAATACATTACTATACCTCAAAGCTTTCCCTCAAGTCTATCACTAGAGAAAACACTCATGTCACTTCCGGTAGATCCAGGGGAGACAGGACAGAAGGGGAAAAAAAAAAAAAAAAAAAAAAGTTGTACTTAAAAAAAGATGGAGTACATAAAGTGCTTCTTTTTAATGAACGACATTTGAGATGTACAGTCAGGCTCAAGTTGTGCAGTTCACAAGCATGGGGGGGAAAAGAAACAGACACGAGTTCAAAACAGTCAGGAAGGAACAGGTTTAACCGAGGACTAGGCTGGACTTGCCACCAGGTGGATTTCTCCTGGATGGTGCAGGTACTGGTGCTACAGGGCTAGGAACAGGTGCAGCAGGCAGGGATTTTTCTTCACTCTGGCTTGGGACAGCTTCTACGTCAGCCTCAGTGTTTTCTAGAAAAGACAGAAGTGTGTTTGATGCAGCGAAGAGGAAAGGCAGACTTCCTCTTAGATAAAACAGGCAGAAGGTAGGGCAGGGTGACACCTTAGAAACCAACTGGTTCACAGAGGCATGAGAGTTCAGACTCACTTTGTCAGATGCTATGGAAGCACTGCATAGATCAGCATTCTGAGGGCAAAAAGCTATGCTTCCTCCCAAGCCTGCTTTAGTGTTTAGCTTTGATGAGTCCATATTGCCAGCAGAAGCTAAATACTACAAATACATTTCCACAAAGGACTATCAAACTTTACACTTGGATATAGTCATTTAGGAACTCTACTAGTCCCATTACCAAATGGGGTAACCTGCCAGTAATTCTTGCCAAGAAGCCACAATTCATGCGGTCATACATGTTATGGATCAACATGAGACATAATTGTAACAACTCCTATGGAAGCCTGAGCAGGTGCTAAAAATAAAGCTACCACAGTGTAGGGCTGGACTTGAGCTCTGTATTTACAAGTACAAGCAGTCCTCCTCTTACAACATTTGAAGTTACATTTTGCAATTACAGTGTTTATAAAAATTGACACCCCGTTTCAACTTTATGACATCAGTTTCGATTTGACAAGGCTTGATCCAATGCAATGCCACACCATGCCAGCAAACAAGTTTGCTGTGTCACCCATCTCCCTGGAGAACATCTGTTCAAACGTCCTTGGACACTTTCTTTAAGAAAGCAGACAAGACTCCAGAAAAACCTGCAGCCAAGACTCCTGAGAGGACTCCAGCCAAGAACCCTTCAAAAATCCAGCAAAGTCACCTCAAAGAAGTAATTCCAAATCAATATGATAGCTATTTACAATATAATGCATTAATGTAGCTGTATTACTCATCTATAATTCACAGAGTACAAAATTCTGGGTTTTTTTGGTGAAAATAGGGCATCAGGCCTGGGTTCAGGAACCCATCGCCCATTTATAACACTGTTTCTTATGAGAAAATTGGTTCTGAGTTACAACATTTCGACTTAAGACACGGTTTTCTTCAGGAACCAATTGTGTCCTAAGTCCAAAGACTGCCTGTAAACAAGATGCAAATGTAATGGTTAAAGAAGCAAGCTGAAAAACAGTAATCAAGTGAGGAGATACTTAATCCTTCCTTAGCTTCCCCGGTGCTGAAGCTTTCAATCAAGTTGACATGAAGATGAAAGATTCAAGCCTGACCATATACCTTGGGGGAGGGGTGTACTCCACAGTTTGAAATTGCATTACAGGGACTCCAACACATACAGGACTCTTATTCATGCAATACCTCAAGAGTTTCTTTGCCCAAGTATGATGTATTGCTTTGGTGGTTGTTATAGTCAGTTATCCACTCTGCCAATGCCTGCATTAAGACATTTGAGAATGGAAGACGTTTCACTTCTCAATATGTATGCCAAGGAGTGATGTACCTAGATCAGTTTCTGCTGCAGCTTGGGAATACTTCCAGGTAGTTTTCCTGAAACAGTCCTTCCTTCTGTTTATGATACCCAAGCAGCTAGTCTATAATCTATTTACCCACAAAAGAGAGTGACCAAAAGGACATCCCAAATTTTATTCAAAAGCCTTGCAGATTTACCAAGTAGTTCAGAAGAAGGCAGACAGAAACCCAGCCCACTCCAAATTCTCAACTATTCAGAAAAATAAATAAATTTGCAATAACTGAAGTCCGTTTGCAAATATTAAAAACAGTAAGTCTGCGGGCTTTACTGTAATTAGATGGGAAGATAAGAGATGCATTGCAATATGCTTCGGGAAACTGTGGAAATTATTAGTGTCTAGTCTTAACAAGATTTACATAGGACAAAGTTCAGGTCTTGACAGGGGAGGAGTGTATGGCTGGCCAATTTAAAATCAAAGACCATTTAATTAATTATCTTACAGAATTAAGAAACCAAGGAAGAAAAAGATAGTTCTATTTAATTGATGCACAGGAATATATAACATGCTCCAAGAATCCAAAGGAGATTAATGATTTTTAACATGAGAAAGACTGCAGTATCTAATAATGCTACAGTTGGAAACTGGTTGGGTTAGCATGGATCCTACACGTTAAACAGAATCCTGAAGCATTAACGATTCTGTTGCACCTCTGAAATAAGTTCTTACTAATATACTATTTAAAAAAGTGCAGGCTCAGATGGGTCAAGTTTTCAGCATGGATCACATCTAAAGGTGGTCTCAGTAGACATTTATATACATTGATTAATTGAGTTTGCTCCACATGCGAGGTGACGTGCCCAGTGCTGCGTTGCATGCATTCATATAAATGGCAAAATGAGCGACAGCGCTGAGAAAATGGCGGCAGTGCGCTTTTGAACTAAAACATCTTTGATGCATTTTAGATTCAAAAGCACACTGCTGCCATTTTCTCAGCACTGATACGCATTTCATCGTTTATACAAATGTATGCACCGCAGCCCTGGGAGCTTTTAAAAGCACCCACCGCTGTAGCGCAAGCATGCGTACCAATGCCAAATGACATCTTCCCTTTCAAGTCTGGTTTCAAAGCTTGCGAGAGCTACAGCAATTGCTTACGGATAGATGGCATGCTGATATAGCAGCAGGCAACTCTCCAGGCCACTAGTAGTTTACTGCCTTAGCAAGAGAGACACAGAGTTCTGTATTTGTCCAAGAAGAGACGCATCCCTTTTTAAACTGGCTAAATTTTGTGCAAGTGACAGCCTTTGCTCCCACATTTATTTCAAAAGAACCAATGTAGACAAGTGACTAGACAGACTCAGAAACAAGATTTGCTCAGAGCTACCAGTCCATAGGCACATTTAAACCAGGCAGT